TACAGAAAAAGAAATCAGGGAGAGGGGTCAAGGACAGAGGAGGCTTCTTTCTTCATTGTTGCTCTCTGTCCCTACTGGACCATACCGTCACTTCAGTCAGACATACTGTTTCCTTCATAAAATTAGAATGTGGTAGTGGACTGCAAGGCTTGAGAGTAGAACTACGTGGAAGAGGACTGGCTGAGTAGAAGCATGCTAGGTGAAACAATGAGCTCCTTCTACTGGGCACTGGCACTGCCCAGTGTGAAAATGGGATTTGGAAAAGTTCAGTCAAAGCAAAAACAAAAAACCAAAAACCTGGGAAATGATCTTTGGAAGTATGTTGAGGATAGTAACACAGAGTTACTCTATCAGAGTGGGTCACAGCTGTGTGGGTCACAGCTATCAGTGTATAGTCTGGGAAAATCCAATAAAGAGTTCTGTTGCTAAAATTGGATGATTACATTGTTTTTCTAATTTCCAGCAAAATGGGTTTGAAGATTTTCATTTTGTAAGTTATTATTAAACTTTTAGTACTTCCTACCTCGTGAAAAAGTTGCAAACAAATTTACAAAGAAAAACACAGACATATTATTTCTTTAGAATAACTTTTTCAAGAATATGGAGTGATCTGCATAAGCATAATACAGTCGGATTTAATGCTGGTAAAATTGTGTCAAGTCCATATGGCAGAATTAAATCCATCAATATTTCATGGTGCTCCACAATGAACACCATAATTTCTAGGTGCTGCCACCTGAACTAGTTTGAAAAGGAACATATTACACCCCTGCGACTGCCTTTTGTTATTTCTCCAGGAAAGGAATGTTATTAGCCTCAGTGAAACTCAAAGGGAATGGTTTAGATACAAAGTAATCTTAAAAATAAATAAGAAAGTCTAAAGGAGACCTAAAGAGGGTAAATTCCAGTGTAAGAATAACATAATAGTAGCTACTGTTTCCTGAGTGCTTTATTATATACCATGCTCTGTGCTAAATATTTGCCGAAATTTATTTTAATCTTCATGACCAGCCTGTGAGATATTACCCACATTGTATAGCTAAGAAGAAGGTTCAGAGACTTGCTTAAGGTAACTCAGCTAATTAAGTGGTTGGTGACACTGATCAAACCCAAGTTTTCAGACTGTATGGTGATGAGATTGTAATGCTTCTTTGTGTGTAAAACTATGTTAAAATGTAACATTTCTTTGTGAGTTAAAACTGAGATAAAGTGCACAGATGTTTTTTACACATATATGTGAAATATACACATTTTTATCACCACAAACTAGATCAAGATACTGAACATTTCAGGCAGCACAGAAGGTTCCTTCCTGCTCACTTTCACTCAATTACCCCATACGTAATCACTACCCTGCCTCTATCACCATAGGTGGGTAAGTTTTAGTTAGATTAATCTGAGTTTCTGGAGTTATCACCAAAAAATTCCGTAAGTCTGTCTTTCATTTTGTCATGTTAGCTGTAGTCAAAGCTGTTCTAGTTTGGGCTTTAATCATGCACTGTAGATAGAGCCTAGCTGATGGACATGGCTTCATATCCAATTTCTTGTTCTGAAATTAATATTAATTTTAAAAAAAAATCAAAGAAACTCCCAAATGAAGGGCCACAGGAATGGGTAGCTTCAGATGGGTTATCAAAGCAACCAATCAACCTCTCTTCATTAGACGCTCCACAGACACAGCTTTCTTGATTTATGTAATTTGTATATCTATTTCCAATTATGGCATCTCATTAGGAAGTGGATGACCTTCAAAGGTCATCTCAATTTATGAAAAGGAAAACTAGCCAGAGCATGTAATACTGATTGTTTTGGAATATCTTGCAGCACTCGGACAAAATTTATTCCAAGTATCTTGCAAAGTCTATTGGCTGTTTCAGGATTTGAAGGCAAAGAAGAATGGAGGGAAAAAAGATCTAGGCAGAGTGTGGTGGAGAATACGATTCATTATTCTTCAATGGTGGTTTAATGTGGTGGCTTTCCATGTCTTACTGGCTAGCTTTTAAAACTACATTACTTGTTATCCATCCCGGCAGTGACAGAAGCAGCACCAATTTACCTCATGTTGGAAAGCAACGGTTGGTGAATTTTCGGCAATTACTCTAGATAACAATTTTCCTTCTCCCTCTCCAAACTCCTTCCCTCCATCCAGCCGTTGCAGCTTTTTAGGGTTTTTTCCTTCTCCCTCATTTTGAATGCCACCACAGCCAACTGGCACTCTGAAGCAGTCTACAGAAGAATCAGAGGAAGACTACTGACACTTGTTGGCATCCGTGGATCTAGCAGTGACATGTGCCTGGGGTAGTCTAAGTGGGAGAAGTCTACAGGAACGTTTTGGCCATCAAAGCAGGGCAGGCTCTGAAGTGGACGCACGTGACAGTAGCAGCCACCTCGAGAGTGACATCATCCCTGGAGGCGGAGCTTAACTGTAAGGCCTTACCAGCTATTGAGCTTCTTCCCCTGTTCCCCACCAAATGTCATCGAGCCCACCAGCCAAAGCTCCCTGAGGAAACGAGAAATGTCTAGACATCTTGGAGCGCCAGGGCCCCATCTCTCTACGTAAAGGGTTTCGGCTCCATTCTCTCTTCCAGCTGCTCCCCACCCCCAAACAGTGGAGGGGCAGGGGGCGGGGGCGAGCGCGCTCCACCACGCACGCGCCCCCACGCACGCGCTCTCCCTCCGCGCTCGTGCTCCTCCCCCCCCCCGCCCCCGGCCCGGAGGGGGCGGGGCTGCGGGCGGCCTCCGAGGGTGCGACGCCCCTGGCGCGGCGGCGGCGCTAGAGAGCGGCCTGCCGGGCGTGGGTTGCTGGGCGCGCTTCTCCGGCGCGGCCCGCTGGCACAGCCGTCTCACGCGAGCCGCCTGCCCGGCAGAGCAAGCTGCGAGCGCTCCGGGCGCCAGGCCTGGGGCGGCCGGCGCTGCCTCCCGCCGCCGCCCTTCGCGCCTCCTCTGGCGGCCCCGCCCCCGTTCCCATCCCCCTCGCGCTCACCTCCGGGCTGTGCCGCGCGCTAGGCGGAGCGAGGCGCCCGCCGCCGCCGCGGAGCTCACAGGCGAGAGCCTGGCCCCGAGCCATCGCTGACAGGAGCACTGCCGCGGGCTGCGCTCGCCGGCCGCGAGGCCCCGCCGCGCCGTACCGGGGCGCCGACCCTCCGCGGGGCGTCGGAGGGCAGCGAGGTGCTCCGAGAATTGGGGGCGGCGCCGGCGGGCGGCGCGGTCCTCACCGGAGACTCCGGGGACTGGGGCTTGACCGCGAGGTGCAGCGAGCTCCTCAGAGCGGCAGGTAAGGGTTCTGGGGAGCAGTGTCAGGAAAGGTCGCCTCGGTGACTGGGGCGTTCGCCTCCGACGCTTCAGCTCGGGGGGAGAGGGGCGGGGGCAAGCCTCAAGACAACGAAATGGGCAGCGAAGTGGCCCCGGTGCCCAAGGCGTGGGGAAGGCTGCCTCTGGATGTGGCACTTAGGGTGGCTACAGATGAGTACGGGGCCAGCCATTTCGCTGTCACCGAATGTGTCATGGAATTTGGTACCTAGAGAGTCATGGGTTGATGGGGACCAGGATAAGACGCGAGGCAGATTGCTAAACGTGGCAGGGAATGTGGTGCAAAACGAGTTGCAGAATGAGCCCCCAGAATGCAGCATGAAAGTAGTTGTGAAATGTGCCAGGTAAGCCACAGGATGGGCTGGCCTGTGTGGCGTTGAAATTCACGATGGAAGTGTTATTAGTGATATTAATAATTCCTCTGGGATAGAGGGCGTAGTATAATAAAAGATTAATAGGGCTCATTGCTAGATATTTAACCACAGGAAATCAGGGGAAGCTATGATAAGCTATTTTTTGACATAGGGAAATTACCCATGTGAAAGCAAAAAGCAGTTTGGTCTGGTTGTGAGGTGGGGAAAATGAGGCTAAAATAATTCCAGGTTTTGTTACAAGCGTGCAGAGCACTGATACAGTTTTACCCTGTCTTCTGTTCCAGGTGTGGAACGTTTAAAATGGTTTTCACAAAACATAAACAATGATTATTAAACATTAGAAGATTTGGTGTTTAGAGTGTCTTTCACTCTCTTCTCTGCCTCTCTCCAGGAAAAGAAACAAAAAAACCAAACAAATCAAACATCTTAACCATGATTGTGAGTTCAAGATCATTAGGCAGAGAGAAATATTTTTCATATATGCCTCTTCTTTGATTTTTGCACAGGTGAAAATAACTAGAATGAGGAAAACAAAACAATATGGTGAACAAAAGAGATACATTTTCAGGCATTTTGAAGGTTGGAGCCAAAAGCTACGGCAATGGTTAATTACAGAGAATGGCAGTAGAGCAATGTTCTTGTATGTTCTGGGTGTTGGGATGGTGAAATAAGAGAAAAATTGAATACAGTAAATTGGCATAAAAAAGCAGCAACATGGATACTGTATAGGGAGTGCTTCTTGAAGCATTTCCCAGGTAAATCATTTTAGGAATGTGAACACAAAAATAAAACGTTAAATGTCCGTTTATCCCCCTTTCTTCCACACCCTCCCGTTTCACTCTTTCTCCTCTCTCCCTCATATATACATATATATATATATATGTATATATATATATATTCCACATGCAGTAAACGTGACTTCCAATTAAGAACATTTGTATTTTGAGAGGATTGTCAGAACATAGCTAAAATCTGAGAAGTAACAAAAGACAGCTCAATGTGCTACTTAACATGTATACATACAATGAGTGTCTGTATACTGTGAAACAAAAGCAGAAATATATGGATGTGTTCATAAGGATATATGTAATTATTGATCAGATTTTAGTCGTTTGTATTATAATTCTTATAGAGAAATTGAATTTCTTGCCTGAATGTTGTTATTATAGTATTTGAGAGATAATCTGAAAATTCATACTCATTGGCTTCTGCCTGGTTCCAGATTGAGCCATTGAGAGATCATTTGCTTCAAAGACAAAAGTGGATTTTCCTTGATTAATTTTGGCTTTTAGTGTTTTCTGTAGATATGTCCCTTACCTTGAGGCTCTGTTGAGTCTAAAGAAGAGAGAAGACCAGAGGAGAATAAAGAGCAGTTCTGTTGGGTCTTCCTGTTTTGTTCTGACTATAAGCCATATGTACTGCCACCCCCTACTGTCTGTAAGAAGAGGTGTTGCAGAGCCCCATTCTTTTCTTGTTATCACTGCCCCCTTGTGTAAGGGAAGAAATTGATAATTGGACTTTTGGGAACCAGTTCTCTAAGATTGTTCTTTATCTGTAGAATGGTTATGTAGATTTATTAATCATCTATTCTCTTCAAAGTTGCAGAGCTTTAAATTTACTACTAATCAGGTCTCAGATTTGTCTGTTTTTAATAGTATCTGATTTTAGTCAATAATTGAAATTACTAAGAATGTTTTCAATATGTTCAGGAAGATGGAGTATTACTAGTAGTAATAGTGCACATTTGTATAGAACTTACTCTGTGCCAGTCCTGTTGTACATTGTTCTGATCAGTTTCAGCATCCAATGAGGAATGTTCTGTTATTCTCATTTTGACAGATGAAAAACATGAAATAGAGAGAGGGAGAGAGATTAAATAACTTGCCCAAGATTGTGTAGCAAAGAAGCAGAAAAACTAAGTTTTAATTTAGAACTCTGTCTCCAGACTCTGTGTTCTTCACTGGTAAATTCATATTGACAAGGCATAATTAAAATATGTGCCCATCATAAAATCAATACTATAAATGTGAATTGACCTAGCAGAACTCACATGAATTTTAAGCCTACATATATGCAAAAATTATGGTCACTTATAGTATGAACATGTCTCTTTAGAAAACTGTTTTAAATTTATGTCTGGGATTACAAGTAGAGGATTATCTACCTTTTCTATGGTCAAAGAAATATTTGTAATGATGCTTGGCTTTGGGGGGAGCTTTAGGGGTAAAAAGGTACTTTCAAGTACTTTGACACAATGTGTGTCTTTATGTAGTGTGTATATACGTACATTACACATACATATCTATGCCCTTTTCTTTAAAAACACCAATAAACCTTTATTTTTAATTTTCTTTAGAAAATAAAGGATAAATTATTATTTTCCCTACTTATGTTTTTATGTTCTCTATTTTATTTAAGAAAGTAGTTAACAAAAAATGGATTAGATACTTATGCATATTTAACGCCTCCACAAACATGTTCAGATTTTTCTTAACAAACATTGCTGTTTAGCTGTTGACTAGAAATGAAATAATATTTATGAAAATTAGTAGTGTAAAGAATAGCAATGCAGTAAGCACTTATACCTTCACACATTTTAAGAAATGGAACGTTACCTGACGCAGTTGTGATAATTATTTTCTTCTCCTAGCCTATTTCTGCCATTCTTTTCAACAGAAACCTTTCCTGATTAACCTGTGACTCAAATGTCATGTGCTCAAACACTTCATTTGTTGATATTGTGGAAGTTAATAAAATCGGATAATGGCTAAAACTTATTTCGGATATTTTAAAATATAATTTAGTATAATAAATATAAACTCAAACCATCCAAACATTTATATTTGTTAGTAGTTCATTTCACTTATAAAAATTTGGTCTGCATCATTTTCATAAACATTTACCAACATCATTAAATACTAATAGATTATTTCTCTCTTCCATCATTGATTCTTTTTTTTTTTGGTACCGAGGATCAAACCTAGGGTCCTTGTGCTTGTGCAGCAGGCAGCAAAACCACTGAGCTAAATCCCCGGCCACATCATTGATTCTTGATTGGCCCATCCTAGTACTCCTTTTCCCCTTCTTCCCCATGAGTTGCTTTGCTCTTTCAGTATTTTCTAAATGACTATATGAATTATTTTGAGTAGAGAGAGAAGTAGACCCTACAAAGGAGTATACTAATCTGGTAGTTCCAAAAAGGCAATATTGCGGTTGTTGCTACTTACTGAATATATGGTAGAACAAGTGTGCATAAAGGAATGCATCAAAATTCTCTCCTTGTCATATTTCTTTCTATTGCAATAGAATTAAAATTGAATCTGAGATACACTGATTAGGGACGGACACTAGTTTAATTACATTGGATTGAATTTATCCAGAATCACTCAGTGTTAGTTGGGTTATTTTCAGTGACAGTACCTAAATTTTATTTCAAGGAGTTAGAACAAAATGTGTGGATGGCTTTTTACTTTTCTAGTACTAGTCTGATCAAGTTAATGAATACTAGAAGCTAGTTTAATTATTTGGACATGTCTTTTTTTCTCTCTGAATTGATATTCAGCATTTTCACATTTGCTTAATGTACCTGTGATCATCAAATGCTGTTATTTGCAGGGAAGACATTATATAAATAAACATTGTATAAATAAATAGCTTATACTTTGTTATAACACCATGAAAACTATCACTGGGTTTATTTAATAGCATCTTTTATAATTTATTTTAGATGAAGATTGTGTAAGATTGAAAAAAAAAGATGAGTGAGGAGATGTGTCTATAGTGATGGAGAGTATATATATTTTTAATGAATCTGTTGTAAAAGTCATGGAGAGAAATGTTAAAATAAAAGCTTTAAGACTTAGGGCTGTATTTTCCCACTCAGTGACCTCTTTTCTTTCCTGTTTGAGGACATGAGATTCAAATTAATATTATATGGAAACCAGGAAATTTGTGTCTTGATTTTTAGAAGATTAAAGCAGGTTAAAGATACCAGAAAGCTCTAATTAAGTAATTATAATAACATAGTCTGGAAACAAATCTACTAGGTAAGTTTATTTTATTATTATTATTTTTTTGTGTTGGGGTTCGAACCCAGGTCCTCATTCATGCTATGCATATTCCCCAGCCCAGGCCAGTTTATTTAAAAAAAAAAAAAAGTTTATATGGGGTGTGGTGGCACATGCCTGTAATTCTAGCATTGGGAGGCTGAGGTAGGAGGATCACCACGAGTTCGAGGCCAACCTAGGCTATATAGTGAGTTCAAGGCCAGCCTGAACTACAAAGTGAGACCCTGCCAAAAAATAAAAATTTATAAATCATGTAAAAGCTCTGTTTGTGGATAAGTGTCAAATAAGTTGATTTTTTTTTATGGGCCATATGTTACAAAATTATCTTTTTATGTTCAGCTTCTGTTTGTCCTTTAGTACTTTTGGGGTTTTTTTGGTAGTGGGGATTGAACTCAGGACCTTGCACTTGCGAGGCAGGCACCGGACCACTGAGCTAAATCCCCGGCCCTGTCCTTTAGTACTTGAAAGTAAATTTGACTAAGTTTAAAAAGCAAAAGAATTAAGTTGATGTCTTAGTCATGCCTTTTCTTCCCCTGAAGTCATTTCTGCTTTTATTCAGTGCATAGCGCATACCACCTTTCAAATAGTTTCCTTTTGTATTGGAACTTGAGATAGTCTAATGTCATTTGTCTAAACTAAACAGTTGAATTAAAGTCAATGATCTTGCTGGTATTTTTTTTTTTCCAGAAAATCCTGTTGCCTAAACATATTTACTGTTTGTCAAATTTATGTGCCTTACTTTTATAAGGTACCTCTACATTGCTGCCAGAGTGATTTTTTTTAAATGATCATCTTCAGAGTCTTTCAGTGGCTCCTGAATTGATAAAATGGAAACTCCCATAGCAACCCTATGAGGTTCTTTATGATCTTTTCCCTGCCTCCTGTTTGGACTCATTGCTGCCATTTTCTTCTCCAAAGCTATTCCTCAGTAATTCTGAATTATTACTTAAGATTCATTCAATATGTAATAGTCTCTTATATTTTCATACTATGTGATTTTTTTTTTCATGGACCGCTCTTCCTGGTTTTTTTGTTTTTTGGTTTTTTTTTGGTGGTTGTTGTTTTTTTGTTTTCTGGGCAATCTCTTCCTCAGCTGTCCTGTCTTGGCCCAAACAGTATCTTTTTTTTTGGTACTGGGGATCGAACCTGGGACCTTGCGCTTGCGAGGCAGGAGGTGGCACCACTGAGCTAAATCCCTGCCCCTCCAAACAATATCTTTTGAGTGAAGATTATTTTGCTTAATCTCCCAGGTTGGCTTGGGCATGCTGTTCTTTGTTCTTTCTTTGTACCGGGTAAATAGTCACATATAGTAATTGTTACAACTTTTTTATTTTCTTATTTTTTATATTTTACAATACTGAGGATTGTACTCAAGCCCTTCACACTGAGCTATATCTCCAGCTCTTTATTGTTTTTTAGTTTGAAATGGGTCCGGATCTCACTAAGTCACTAACTTGCCTTTGGTGATCCACCTTGTCTCAGCCTCCCAGAGTACTGGGATTACAGGCATATCCTACCATGCCTGGCTTTGTCACAAAATATTTTAACTAACTATATGGCTGTCTCAACACTAGTCTGTGAGCTCATTTTAAGCAGGCATTATGACTTCATCTTTTATAGCATCAGCTTAGTTACCTACTTATTGAGTAAAGATTGTTGAGAATTATCTCAGTTATGCTTTTGAAACCTCATCTCTTTAGTGTGGACTTGGAGGAAATTTTGGGCATCAGGACATAGATTTACAGAAATATACATACATAAATGCATCTGTATACATCTTACATATAGATGTGTACATATATACAGTTTAAAAATATCCCGTGTAACTCCTGGACTATAATTAATACTCAGATTTTATTTTTTTTCATGTTTACTAGAGTGGCAGAAGGAAGATTAGAAGGTTCATTGTATGAACTTTGTACAGTGATACCTTGCTATTGGTTGTTAATTGATTCTGGGAGGTAGTACAAGCACCAGAAAAGAAGAGTACCAAACAAATTGTTTTGGCTGGCAAGGGTAGTGAGTCATTAGGCAATCAACACCAATGAATTTTAGCTTATGCCTTAGGTATCAAACAGCAAGTACCAGGATAAAATTTTCACATCAGAATGCATCGAGTACCAAGTTTGGTGCATTTTAAAGCAGTCAAGAACTAAGGTATGACTGTTTATTACAGGAGTTGGTAAATTATAGCCTGTGGGCTAAATCCAGCCCATTATCTGTTGTTTTATGGCCTCCAAGCTAAGGATAGTTTTACATTTTTAAAATTGTTGAAAAATATCAAAATAAGATTAATAGTTTGTGACAGGTGAAAATTACAGAAAATTCAGATTTCAGTGTCCGTAAAGATAGTTTTATTGGAACCTGGCCATGCTCATTTGTTTATATATTGGTTATGATTGTTTTTGGGTACAACAGCAGACTTGAGTAGTTGTCATAGAAACCATATGGCTTGCTGAGCCTAAATATTTACTATCTAGCTCTTTATAGAAAAAGTTTGCCAGTTTTTGGTCTATTACATAGTCTGTGCCCATTAAGTGTTCATCAAGTGTCATTAGTTGGAGATACATCTTGTCTGCTGAAGGATTTTGCCAGGAATAAGTGCTTCTTTACTGAGAAAAGATTGGCCACTTTGCCTTAGTACTGGTTTATCTGACAGGCCCTTATTGTACCTCCTTATAACACTTTTATTATGTCTAACTCTGAAGTAGTTTCTGACAAAGTGTATTTTAGGTTCTGTTCCTTTTTTGAAGTAGTATCCTAAGTAGAGTTTAGAGCACAACATGTAAGAGAACATTTTTCTTTGCTTATATATCACCAGCCTCTGACATAAAAATTTTGCAAAGAAAGATGATTGATAAATTTTTTTTAAAAACCTTTGATTTTGTATATTTGTTTGTTAGGTAGGTACCTTGTATAATGTGAATTGAGTTGGATTTAGTTATGTTGGAAAAATTGGAAGATTTTTATGGAGTGTATTAATATCCATTTTCTTAGATATTTATTGCCCACCTACTATCTGTAGTTATTTTTACTACTGTTGTCTGTTGAAGGTGGAAATTTCATATTTATCCTTGAATAAAAGCTATATTTTTTGTAAATCAAAGTTTTGCAATTCTGTCACCTAGATATTTTTCCACCTGTGGGGAAATATAATTTTAAAAAGTATGAAGCATAGTATTAATATTTTCCAGTTCCCCAAAGTTTTACAGGCCAAGGTCGATAAGTTTACTATTTTGTTTATGTGCCAAAGGTGTTATGAAAAGGAAGGTAATGATTTTTATGTTCATTTTTGTAAATGTCAGCAGGTATTGCAGTCATAAAACTCACCAAGAAAAGTATATGTAAATAATAGTAATGGAAAACTTTGGTTATCCAAGTGGATCTTATGACCAGGTAGCCATGCTTACTATATCCTTGTCTTAAATACCATGAGATACTATCATGCAGTGACATATCTGATCATAAAGATTGATAATGTGAAGAAATGTAGCACTGATTTTTTTTTTTTTTGAGATGGAAACCCCTTTTCCTCACCTATGGATCCAGTTTTATAAGTAGATTACATTCTTTGAACTTGGAAATGGAAGTTGAGTATCTGGATATTGTAATTTAGTCATTTTAGACTTGGGGAATCTGCTTCAGATCCTAGTATATACTCTGCCTAACTGAAGGCAGGCTCTCGAAACCCTTTATTCCTGATCTTCCATTGGAGAGTGAGGGTTAGTGTCCCATAATTTCTAGTTCTAGTTGTTGAAATTTGATAAGGCAAAAAGCTAGTTAGGTTCTGGACGCTTACTAGATGTTTTTTGTCCTCTAGAATTCTATTTCTGTTCAGATTCCATAGACTCTTGCAGGGATGCTTGGGATTGTGAATTATGGTGAATGAAGGTAATTAGCTTTTGTAGAACCGTGGAATTGAGACTTATTAAAGCACATAAATAATCAACTGACTGTATACACCTAAATCTTGCCTCACCATCATAGCATCTTAGCTCTTTCATTTTAGGGGTTTAAAGAGAAGGAGACAGGAAGTTGTTATTCATTCTGATATTATAGAATGGCAACACTGTTGTTCAGTTATAGGCTGAATTTCTACAGAGACCAGTTGAATAGTAGAAAGAATATGAACTTATGAATTATGAATCACGAAAACAAGTTTGAATTACTCCTGTCACTTACTAGTTATTGGAGGGCCTAAAAACTTACCTGGCAGGATTTTTATGATGATGAAATAAAATAATCTCAGTGAAAATCCTTAGATAATATCTAGTACTTAATAAATAATGATTTTTGTTAGGCTTTAGAAAGTGTCCTGGATTTCTCTTTTTTTGATATGAATTTAACCTCCTCACAATTTTTTTTTACTGTTATTGTCAGTCCAGCTTTTATTTTCTTGTTTTGCTCCCTTTTTCAGCCTTGCAAGGTATTTAAAAACCAGTAGTAGTTTGGCTACTGATATACTTTATTTGTACCCTGTTTTTTTAGTGAAAGATTTGATGAGAGCTGAGAGTTTTTAAAGAACTATAAACTTAAAACTGAGATACTGTTAATCACAGTGGTGTTTGCATCTGTTTTTTAGACTTTCTCTTTAAGCATAACAATGTTTCCAAAATTAATTTTTAATCTCTTTTATAAAATATTGGCCAAAGCTTTGCTTGAGACAGTAAGTCCTTTGATGATTAATTTCCCTGATTTGGTGATATAAACATTTTCAATTTTTAAAATCTCTTATTTTTGTAATTAGCACCTTGCCCTCCCCAATGCCTGGTAATGCTACAGGTTGACACTTTTTGTCATTGTTCTTTTAAAAAAATTTTTTTATGTGATAATCAGTCAAAGTGGACTGCTTAGAGGATTTTTGTGGTTTTTACCAAGTTAAAAAAAAGAATTTGTCTATTTACAGTGTAAAATAATACCCTGGAAGAAATTTGTTCCTCTTTCTGTAGTGTAGATAATGATTCAAAATTATTTTTCTCCAAACTTTAGTTATTTCTGTAACAATGTGCTAATTTTTGCTATTCTGTATATCTTTGTTATAATTACTTAATGAATAGTTTTCTTTAAATGGACTTGACTCCTTTTCTTTTGGTTTCATCCCTAAGTCATAATCTCCATGAACTGGTGAGTTTGTGCTAGTTGTAAAACAAAAAATATTTTCTCTTGAAGGCATCTCACTTAATACATTTGGGAAAGGCCATTTATAGGAAACCAGATTGTATTGTTTTGAATTTTTAAATGAACTTCATAATGATTCATGTCATTTTATTAGGTAATTCTGTCTTTGTCTTTGGTTGTGTTAAAGGTAGGGATTTATTGGTAAATGTTAATTATAATTCCCTGTAGTGGCCAACTGGGAGTCTCACCACCATTCTACCTTTTCATTTTTAAATTACAAAACTACTGTTTCTACTTGCAATTACTAAAATAAACAGTAGGAGTTAATAAAGAAAACATTGATATTTTCTTCTCCTCTTGGGTCTTTTCCTTCTCCAGTTATAGTCTTTGTAGTAGCCAACATTAACTGACACTCGAGTAGTTTTCAGTGTCCTTTTCTTTGGTCAAAAACCTGTAAGCATATATATACCCATATAGGCTCTGTTCTGTGTATTTTTGATTGTTGTTAAATACGGGATCATATTATTTATATTGCTGAGTAACTTGCATTAGTCATTTGACAATATATGATAATTCTCCAGTACAGTATTTGGAATTCTAATTTAAAAAGTTTGATATTTCATAGCATACTGTACCATAATTTATTCTATTATTACTCAACTGATTGATCTTAAAATTCATTTTTCTTTTTCCTGTTGTAACCATTAGTCCACTGTTACAATTCCAGAGGCAGTCTAAATAAAATATTAGCAAAACAAATCCAACAGTGTGTTTAAAAGACAGTGTGCCATGCATGATCAACTAGGTTTATTCTAGAAGGGCAAGGGTATTATAAGATTAACATTATACAAAATTATACAACCAAATATTAAGATAAACACTATATGATTATCTTTGTCTTTGGGGAGAATTGAGGGGCTTGTGTTGATATTTGTACAAAATGACACAGGGAGATAGATGCCTCCTGTGTGAACAGCAGTCCAAGTTTTACAGAATTCTTTGATCTTCGAAAGTTGATAAAGTCTTTATTTTGGTATATGTGCTGCTGAAGCGAGCACAAAGTCTTTATTTTGGAATCTTGTGGGGGGTGGTTTATGGGTCCTTGGTCTTGGCCCTGTCCTCACTACTAGTTTTTGGTTGCCAAACCTGGTACATTGTGGACATTAGCGTATTTCCAGGGATTGGGATGGATGATATGGGTGGTGTCATTCAATTTAGAGCTGAGACGTTTTTCTTTTTTTTTTGGTACTGGGGATCAAACTCAGGACCTTGCACTTGTGAGGCAGGCGGTGGAACCTCTGAGCTAAATCCCTAGCCGTAAGACCTTTTTAATATGTTGTGTTTGACTGCTTCGGACTTAAGTGGGTGCCATGCAGGCCTCTCTCTTTACAGGTGCTTATTTCTTTGAAAAGGTTGACCTAAATCTTTTTTAGGCCTTTGTGTGTCTTGGCAAAATAATGTGTTTCTTAGAATTTGAATATCTTGAAGCCATTTCTATGCTATTTTCAGGACTAGTCATACAGGATAATTGTTCTTAGATTTGGTTGCATCTATTCTGCTCTCTGCAACTCTGAGAGTGGTGAAGACCGGAAAAAAGAAACTTCATGTTTATTAAATGCCAAAAATGTTTTGATAAAATTTTGGAATAATTTGCTCAAGAGTATATATGGCATAATTTCTGAATTCTCACTTGAATAAGGATGCCTTTTATCTTGATCAGTGAATGATATCTCTAGTGGATATAGTGTTTATGGATCATAATCCTTTTTGCCCTGTAACATGTACATGTTACTCTACTGTCTTCAAGCATCTCGTGTGATAGATGAGAAGTCTGATGCTAGTTTGATTCTCCTTTCTTTATAGGTAACTAGTCCTATTATTTTCCATACATGGCAGTCTTGTAATCTTTATGTGTCCCAAGATTATCAAGTGTAGCCTTTTTGTGCACTTTATCTCTTTGATATCCATGAGAAGCCCAGTATTGCTAGCTCGTGTTTAATTTCCTGGACTCTTATTCCTGACAATACAGATCTGTTTAT